CTACTTTCTTTTCACTATCTATTTTCTACGGCCTTTTGAAATCTTATTGCACTTACACGTATGCCTGCTTGAAAACCTTCTTCTGACTTCCGAGCAACCTTCCTGACATCCCGCGAGAATGTCCATAATGAGATTTGCGAGCTGTGACGTGAGTTGCATAGGATCAATCCTTGATCTCATCAGCTCCCTTGCCCTTATTACGGTTTTCGAAGTGTCTGATGACATTGCCAAATCCAGCAAATCAAGCAATTCATCATCAGAAACAATACCAATCTGCGGAAGAAAATAAAAAGGCAGACATTTAAATTAGATGTGCGTCACTTGAAACTGAAGCAAACAAAAAAATACCACCCACTTACAAGTTCATATGCCAGGGACATTGTGATCTTTTTAGCGAGCAGACTCAGCTGATCGAGCATCATCTCGGCATCCCTCATTGAACCGTTAGATTTTGCAGCAATGAAGTCTAAGGCACCTTGATCGAAATCAAGTCGCTCTTCAAGACAGATTTTTGCCAATCTGCTTGCAATATCGGCGTCCTTTATCTTCGGAAAATGGTACCTCTGGGACCGTGATACAGCGCTTCTTGGCAGCTTATCGAGATCAGGAGTGATCATCACGAAGATAACGTGTTGAGGAAGGCTATCCAGGCTGTGCAAAATGGTGGCCCATGTTTCCCCATGGAGCAAGTGGCACTCATCAACAATGAAAACCTTAAACTGCGACGAAACCGGAGGAGTCATTGCCTTCTTAATTAAGGATCTAACTCTATCACGCCTATTGATTCTCACAGAATCCACTTCTTTCACATCTATGTTCCTTCCGGAAAAGAACATGACACATTCAGCACAAAGACCGCACGGCCTGTCATCCTGCAGTGAGAGGCAATTCAACGCCGCGGAAAAAATCCTTGATGCAGAGGTCTTGCCGGTACCACGAGGGCCATGAAAAAGATACAACGAAGTTACTCTTCCTTTACAGATAGCACCCAAAAGAGACCTTGCTACCACATTTTGTCCCACCAATTCACTAAAAGATCTTGGCCTGAATTTTTGACTCAAACTCCTAGGGGTTTCGGATACTTGAGTAATTTCATTGCAATAGTACTTCAAGCATCGGTTTTGGTACATAGCATTCTCATCTTCATTCCTGCATAACAACGGATTGTTTTCCTCGTCAGAAGATTGGTTTGCTTCTCTGAATCTTGGTGTTCCCGACCAGCAGCAGCTTATCCCGCATCCACCATCGTCATTGTCAACAACACCAACCTCATCATTTGCAAAAAACGACATGCTCCTGCTCGAAAGAGCATCTCTAGGCGAGGGACATGGACTTCCAACACAACTTGTGCCATCACCAACCGCCACAGAAGATTTCACTCTCCTTTTCCTTTGAAATTTTTTTTTCAATGCTATGCGATCCGTTCTCTCTCCTCGAAACGATCCTAAGCTCGCCTCATTACACGAATCCACATCCTCCAAAGGATTAATGGAAGGTATAATGCAAGTCTTATCAATTTGATTGCCGCAATATCTTTCACTCAACGATTTGTTTCGAGGAATCTCCTCCTCATACAAATGATCTTTCTTGTTTCCAACTCTCCCTGAATTCTCATAGAATTTCAATTTAGGTTTCCCAAAATCGCAATTCAATTCGAAATCATCAAAGTGGTTCTCTCTTCCACCATATAGCCCCACATTCTTCAGTCTCGAACCACGATTTTTCCCCGAACCTCCTTCTTGGCAAGAATCCAAGAATTGCAGAGAAATCCCATTACTGGAATTGGTCTCCCAATTCACATTGTCAACCAAAGCAGAGAATTTGCTCATGGAAAGAGTTGAAGGGTCTCTCAGAGACCTCACTCTCCTCAATGCCACAAGAGTCTTTGAGATCGGAATATCAACCGAGTGCCTCCGGCCATCCATCATCATTTCAAAAAAGTACAACAATCACACAAAAAAAAAATGTACGACTCACAAACTCAAGTTTTCAGGGCCCACAAAGATATGCACCTGGACAAAGCAATAATAACAACACCATCGTCAAATTCATCATCATCAATCGCTTAAAAAATAATAATAACACCTAATTCTAAACATTTTGGCTTAAAATTCCCAACACAAACAAAGTTCTTCACTAAAAAGGAATGATCAGAAATTCAAAAAACAAAAAAAAAACAGCTACATTGTATTACTTACTGAAATGGGCATCAAATTTTCAGAAACAAAAAGGAAAAAACACAATGTAGCACACCATAGAATTCAGTGACACAACAAACTCCCTTTTTGTTCTTTTTGATCACCATTGGATTACATAAAAACCCAGAAAAAACCCCATTACCCAGAAAGAATCACAAACTCTCAAACTTAAAAACCGACCAAAAACCTTCCTTTAACAGCTCAAGCACCACTGGACAGAATTCTAGAGAGAGAGCGAGTGAGAGAGAGAGGTCCAAAGAAAGAGAAAGTCAAAGAAGGAATCTAGAATTTCAAAATGTGGGATAAAATCACGCAAAAAAACAATTCAGGAACGGACAAACTCGGAAATACCAACAAATTCCCATTACCTTCAGAGCAGGAATAGGAACAATCCATAAAAATTAAATACAGCTTCGAAATTGACGAAGTTTTTTTAATTTTTCTTTTTTCAAACTGGGCAGCGCAGAAAGCGGAGAAGAAAACCCTAACCCTAGAGCAGTGTCCTTGGTGGTTGAGCTCAGAATCAGAGAGAAAGAGAGAGAGAGATGAGGAGATGACGAGGGATGAACGGTGGGGGAAGGGGCAAGTGGCAAAGTAGTAAATGTCATAAATGCGAAGGGTACTGTCACACGCCATTGTCTGTCCACAGAATGTTAGAGAGAGAAACAAGAGAGAGACAGAGAGAAAGAAAGAGAGAACTTTGGTCAGAAATTCCCAGTTTTTTTTCTCTGCCAGAGAGCAGAGTTTTTTTGGTTTTCTCGGCCAGAGAGCCACGAGGGGCACTTTCGGTATTTCGTCGTCGGCGGTTTCAGTTAGTTCGGTTGGTTGAGGAATCAAACAATAAAAAATCCTTATCTATTTTCCTTTTTGTCGTGTACTCCCACCCTTGCTAAAAGAGCGTGTAAAGCACGCGACTGGGAATTGGCTGTGTTTCGAAGAGAACCTGTCGTGTGGAGCACAAACAGCTGTTCAGAAAAAGTGGAAGGCTTTTCGAAGACTGTTTGGGGGTTTAACTGGACGACAAAATCAGGTTGCGACATAAATGTGAAATGACCGTTTCACCCATTTGAAAAGCCTGGTAAAACGCCTTCACGAGAAGATGCTTGGCTTTTTTAAAAAACTGAAAAATGCGTTGTAGGGGCTACTGAGCGGCGCCGCTCCGCTGTAATAACTGAATCGGACAGATAGAGATAAGATGTAAAAAAA